CATTTGAAATTCTACTGATTTCTTTTTTATTTTACTAAAAAACTAAATTGGAATAGGCTGAACGCTTTCAAATACATAGATAGTTATTCTTGTCTATTGGAAGAGATTCCAGAATCGATTAACGAGAGATTGCTCGACTCGTTTTCAATAGAAACCCCTTATCGAAGTTTGTAGTATAATTCCCGTACCAAAGTAATTCGTTCCTTTAAACGATGAATCTCAAGTGTTAAACACGTTGAACCAATTTCGATTCTGACAAGCACCAATGTGCTTCCTTTTACAAAGTAGACAAGAATCTTGGCTTGTATTTACGTTGCCTTTACGTTCTACTTCGTTCTGGATTTCCCAGAAGAAAACGTTTCTACGTAGTCATTTTACGTAGTCAATTTATTTTTCATCTTTCGAGCTTCATATATTCATGAAAAATATTATAGAAATATTTTTTTAATAAAGTAATTTATTATTTCTTGTAATTCTTTTTTTCTTTTTGTTAAATTTATTCTCATTATTTTCTTTAGTATCTTTCAAATTTTTGCTGTAATATAATGATAAGAGAGAGAAAGAGAGACAGAGAGAAAGAAATAAATATAATGAATTATCATTTTCTTTTAATTAAAAAAAAATATTATTTTTGAATATATAAACAATAATAAAATAATATTTAATTTTCATGAGTTTGTTCAGTAATATACGTTTAGCGTCATTCAATGAAAAATATGTATGTGTATATAAATAAGTAACGTAAAAGATATATATTATATATGTATGAAAAATATGTAAATAAGTATGGTATTCATATCCAAAGAAAATATGATCTCAAGGGAGTTAATATAATTTAAATATTGATTATAAATTATAATACATATCATGCATTTGTATAACAGAATACATCTCCGTTATATCTTCTTGAGCAAGCAACATGCCGATCGATATCTTTGAATTCTTGCGAGTTAGGCGAGCAAACGATCCTTCTATTAACCCTAAACTCGAACTTTTCGTGATCTATTATAGTTCATAGGACAATGTTGAAGTTTAGAACGGCTAAGATTAGCATCGTCCAATGGGATAGGTCATTAACAAGAAAACCATAGATAAGAAAATCAATGGCTAGTCAAGTAACTAGCTAATCATTAAGCTTTTGGTTCTAACGATTTGAAATTTCTATTTTAATTATATGATATAATTCAATACAGAATGACAGTAATAAATTACACGATCTTATTCATTAAATAATTTTATTAATTAACTGTAACGTTTATAACGTTTATTAAGACATTTAACAATGTTTATATGATGAAAAATGATAAATTATTTAAATTATAGATTACCCGATGGTTTCTACGAGCTTGATCCAATGACAGAATACGAGGAAGCCCATTGGAAGAAAGAAAATTGCAACGAATATATAGCAAAATGTCCAGACGTTTTTTGAAACAACACGGATGAATCTTCTTTCTTGATTTACTCATACATCGATAAATTTTTCTTCTGGAAAATCGCCTTTATGAGTACTCAGGCATCAACTATGTCAGACTTTCTCTAGAGAAGCTCGGAAACCGCTTTAGTTAATGCTGCATTTCTGCGGCCAAGTACATACCACATCTTCCATCCTATCATACTTGATAAAAATTTGGCAGCTCATTAACTAAATTAACATAATAAATCTAGATCAATTAAATTATTCGTCGTTATATTAATCAATTTAACTTAACAAATATTTATATACCATTTAATACGATATTTAATAGGTTGTCAAAAGATCAAAGAAGAATAGTAACATTTTATTTATTCATTCTTATGTTTCTTTTTACTCTTATAATACGGGTACATAGTATTAGGGATAGTAGACACACAGAACTTCTAGTACATCCACTTCTACGTCCTCGTTGAACTGTATAATAAACATTCATGCTGTCAGAGCTTAATGCACTTTTTATTGCATATCGTCTGAGTGCTCTAGTATCTTCACGTTATGTATCCCAACACTACATATGCTCTATTTCGTATTTTACCGATACGTTTATCGTAAGTTCATATGATAATGTCGTTCTTAAAAAAATGGCTTGATAGTATGACGTAAAAATTGTACTAATTAATGTGCCTAAATAAGTAGCTGATATATATATGTATCTACATATATACAAACTATATAAATGACTTCGTGTAATAACGCATGTTATTCTTTTTCAATGATTGATTTTTATAATTTCGATTAAATTAAACGCAATACAATTATTGTTATTAAACTTTAAGATAATGACTCGATTTATTTCAAGTAAATAAACATAGACATAAAGCAAAGAATAAAATTTTCAATTGCAATGTTCTAAATGGATAAGTAAATAATATGATGTCTTGGAATATTATAAAGCAATTAAATGTAAATAGTGTCTTCTCTATATGTTGATTTACTGCATATTTTGCATTTTTACAAGCTTAGTAATTATGATACATTTATCAAGATCTTTAAACAAAGAAATAAAAAGGATCTGAAGAAAGGTAAATGCAAAGATGGAAAGGATACGTCCTTGAACCTATTTAAGTTGCAATTTTACATAGCAATGATTAGGATAATGATTAGGATAATGATATTAACGATGGTAATAATAATAATAACGATGATCATGATGACAATGATGAAACCTATACTACTGTTAATACCGATTATGACGATTGTGTTGAATTCTATGAATTAGTATCGATACGAGTAAAGTCCGATAATATGAAAATACGCTTGAATAATTATTGTTTATTTTAAAGTAAAAAGAGAATACCCATAGAAATAGTTTTTAAACTATTATATAAAAATTATTATATTATATAAAAAGACGAATTAAGAGAACAGGGCGATTTGGGAATTGACGAGGAGTTGCGTTAATGACGCGCAATAGAAACCCTTTCTCTCTCTCCTTCTCTCTCCTACAGTTGACGGCCTCTACTTAGATGAATAATATTACAGCAACATATCTACTTCGATGTATCGTATGCTCCTGGTTACACGCCATGCGTACGTAAATGCATGTATCTATACGCGAGTATGAATGTGTAGAGAAGTGCATCCAGTGAAAATACACATACATGATGACAAACCCCGGAAGACCATACATGAAGGGAGAAGATATAGGATATATTATTCCGCTAGTATGAACTATTATTGTAATACTATTCCGTTGAAATAACATACGATGTTTCCTCGATATAAATTTTCCTTACGTATGGGAAATATCTACTAGATAAACAAGTAAAGTTCATTCTCATTGTTAACAATATTAAACGAACAGCAGTTAGATAATTTTCTTTTTCTTTTTTCTCTTTCCTTTAAATCCTTCGCAATTCTTTTATTTTTTGAATTAATTTCATTAAATATATATGTAATCCTTTTTTGTTTTCATTTGACACATGATGATTTCTTGATAAAACCGGATTTCTTAGTGAACGTTGAATAAATTGTTCGTTCTCTTGGCAGCATTCAAGAGAATAGATTCTGGCAGGCTTGTTACGTCTACTCGACGAAAAAAAAAAAAAAGAAAAAAATGAAGAGGAGAAGGAGGAGGAGAAAAAAGTAGAATAAGAAAAGAGGAAAAAGAAAAAGAGTGGTCCAGGATAAAATTACCTTTCGGAAGAGAAGCCACGTAAATGGTTAGAATGCATCCAAAGCAGGACTTTTTAAGATTGGATAACGTGAAGTAGGTTTTGATCTTTGAATATATTTTTATTATTTAAATATTTAAATGCTATTTGTTGATGTAAATACAAATATGTCTATACATGAAAGAAGATGGCGAAGTCAAGGCTTTCACGTTGAGATTTCCCAAGATTATACGAAGAAAAGAAAAAGAATAAAATGATTTTTACGTGTATTTTTCTGATGATACGTGTTGCGAACTGACAGGTTGATTTTTGAAAGTAATAAATTCTTTTTAAAAAGTTTCATGTAAAATTAAGTGTGACTCGTTGTATTTCTTTGTATATTCTTGTTTATTATATTTTTTGAATTCTAAATTTTATAGTTGATATATATTTATCTATCTATAGCGTTTCTTGTTAAAGCAGGAATAAAAAAAGTTAAGAGAAAAGGAAATTTGAACATATTTGAAATGGTAGAAGCGCATATGAGGGGATAGGATGAAAGGGAGAAAGCTACAAGATATAATAAAACGTAACATATATTTTCATAATTAATATTCTAAGAAAACAATTAAATGAAGTTAAATGAATGCTTGAAAATTCGATTAATTTGCTTGACGAAGTAAAAAGAAACTCTTACGTAGTCATCCGCATAATTACGTATACAATAAAACGATGCTAAAACTAATTAGAATTGATTGCAATTAAAACAAGCACAATTACTTTCTTCTTGAAAAGGCTTTTTATGAGTAAAAAAAGACGGTCGTGAAGTAAAATCGCTGGGCTCAACTTCAACGTTGGCCTGTAATTTTCTGTGTATCATTTAGCGATAATTCGAAACTCAAAGTAGACTGTTTTGCGAGCTCCCACGCGTGTGTCTGGTATAAATGTTGCGAAGAAGAGGAAGCCGAACGTCCGTTTACCTTATTACAAGTAAGACTATATTCGTGCTTATGAACTTAATAATATTTGCCTATGAACTTAACGATTTACTTTTACAACGAGGTCAATCTAATGACTTTTTATTTTATTAATTATTCATTTTACAACATAATCTGTTATCATAATAAAATATTTTAATAAAATTTTTCCCGAATGAAATATGTAAAACGTATCATTATAATGATGTACGAAGATCATCGAAATAGTCGTCGAGTTTCAATTGAAGAAAAAGAAAAAAAAACGAAACAATGGAATCGAAAGGCAAAGAAAAGAAAGAAATAACAAACAATCATGGTATGTTTGAAAAGTCGGGGACACATCGTAGTTTATTTTTTCTCATTTTTCAAGATTTTCTCGCCTTGGGCAAGTCGAAGAAGAGTCAAGAATGTAACCGAAGTGATCGTTCCAGCAGTTCGGAACGATAACTCGTACATCAAACACACGTGGCACGTCTCCATGTGAGGCAAAAGACGACGCGAGTAAAGCACCGTTTCGACTTCTTCGAGTCTTTGAACCTTACATGGTGACTGGTCCGTGGCGTTAACCATAAAGGATGTTGTTTTAGACACGTTGAAAAAAAAAATAAAAACAGTTTTTCATTTTATCTCGTACGAGAATATATTGGAAAAGGAAAAAGAGAAAATAAATAAATTTGTCAAATAAGAAAATGGTCTGCTCAAAATAATATAATAAAAAGAAGATTTTGTGGTGAAAAACAAAAAAGAAAAAAGAAGGAAGGAAAGAAGAAATCGTTCAACCAAGAAATGAGAGCAACATGGCTCGTTTTGATACTGATGGAGTTATCGGACGTTGTCCTTGGGGTATCTCTGTGTCACCGTAATGACACTGACTTTAGTGTCAGGGGTCAAAGTTCAGGAGAGATCTTTGTTAGAAGAAGACGATCCCTTGTCTTTCCAAAGGGCAGCGCTTTCGTGGTGAGTTCCTACGAGATTTATCGGTTCAAAGTTGAAAACATTAAAGCTGAGCCAATGTGTAGATCTTAATTAGATAGATTGAGAGGTTAAAGAGTTCGCATGGTACAGTGAAACATTTGACTTTTCTTAAACGAATTTACTCGAGTATTTTTCTTTCTCTTTTTTTTTTTTTCATTCACAGACGACCTTGGCTATGTTGAAAGCTATTATGGTTAAAGAACCACCAAATTGGAACATGATATATGAATTCGATGTGATATGGCCAATACCAAGTCAGGAAAATTTTCGAAAGAATTTATACAGAAAGCCATGGATTATAAAGCGACGTCACAGACGAGAGATTTACAGTAATTTCGAAATGGCATTAAACAGGTACGTACGTGAAAGACCTTTATAACTTATTATTTTCATTTACTGTGGCTTTAATTTAATCTCCTCGGAACGTTTGAAACTCATAAAAAATCAACGATGAAAGCGTTCGCATATGAAAAGAGGAATAACTCTTTTCAGCCAAAATCTCCCTGGCCGTCAATGCGTTCTTAGAGCTATTTGTGAGACTGCCTCGATTCTGAATCAACCAGGCTTGTCGTTGGTGGAAAAAGCGTTAAAAGTAATCCTTAGGTACGCTTTTTAAATGGCTTCGTTTTCTTTATTTTCGGTTCTTTTTAATGAAAATCTCATTACAGCAATTCCGAAGACATAGAAGAAAATGATTGTTACGATATAGCTTATCGAAAAGATACGGATTGTCACATCGAGTATCCTTGTCCGTTTTCTTTTATAGAATTACTCTTATACAGCTTATACTCTTGAAATTCGATATAAAAAGGAAAATGCTTTTCTCGATTATACGTAATTTATTTTTTATTCTCGAAACGATTTATCTTTAAATCTGAGAAATATTACGAATTAAATAGCATTTCTGGTTGAAGCATTAAAAACAAAAATCTTTCAAGATGCTTCGCTACGGCGAAAGGTACTTACTTATGAGTAAGTACTTGCGGTGTATCTCTTGCTGTCATGACATTTTGTGTTTCGTGAATTCTACTTAGAAAAACCGAATGATCTAAAACCTGAAAAACGGTGAACTTGCAACCGTTAACTTCTTATATGTCATTTTGGAGTGCAGATGTACGGATATAATTATCAAGTGGATGACAAAAGTTTAACACTATCACTAATACAATTTTTTCTTAAGATAATATTTAAAACATTGACAGTTAATATTTACCAATCGTTGTAAAGAATAATAATATAAATATTACATTCGTTAAAACGTTACGTATTTGTAATATATTGTTAAAAAGTGATAATTGTATATAAATTATTTATTGTATTAAAAGAAAAGAAAATAAATAAATAAATTTTTTACATATTAAAGAATATTTTAATTAATTAAAAGATTCTGAAAGATTGACAGATTTTCTAAATTTTCTTTTTTTTTCATCGTCTTTCCAACCTGCATTTAATTATTACAGATTATACATATGTATATGTATACTTTAATTATATGCCATTGACTTATCGTTTATTTCTCATCTCTCTCTCTCTCTCTCTCTCTCTCTCTCTCTCTCTCTCTCTATGTGTCTCTCTGTCTGTCTGTCTGTCTGTCTGATTTTCTGTCTCTTTTTCTCTCTCATTCTCAGCTTTAGCCTGAAAACTTTGAAAAGCGTCAACGTGACAACCGATATTACTTTGCGCGAGAGCCCGAAGCAAAAGAAAGTTTATCGATGAAGAGGTTGCCTCACTGCTTTTGCAGTCGGTAGAATGCAAAAGGCGATTGTTACGGACGATCGAGCCGTTCCGAAGCTTATAATCGCGGTCCAAAGTCCGGGCCATTGTTCTTTTTTATATTCTTCCAGTCTTCTTAGATATTTTCAACATGATAAAGAGTTTTCAGATTCATTGTCTTTTTTTTCAGTATTTATCTATCCACGTTCATCATCCAAAAATTTTATTCTAAGACATTTACAATTACATTTGAATTATGACAAATACGTTTTAAGAAATTAACCAATGAGATATGGTTATTCGATACACGTTCTCTTTTCCATTCCTTAATCAATGTAAAATTGATTTGTTTTAATCGACAATCGGTGTTTACGATCCATAAACGTAATAACAAAAATTCAATAATTTTATGAAAATGATATGGATGAACAATTCTAATAGATAATTCTAAATAATCGTTCGATAATTTCGCTTATTATTAAATCTTTTTTTTATATCGATATGATTAAGTATGTATCAAGCTAATGTTTTTTCTTTTTTCTTTTTTTTTCTTTTTTTTTTTTTATATACAATTTCTCAATTTGCTACGTTTAAATGCAAAAAGTTATCGTTTTGAATCTGCATTATTAATTTAACCCTATTAAATATTCCTATTAAATATTATATTAAATATTATTCTTAAATATTACTCCTATTAAATATTATTCTTAGGATTAAATAATATTCCTATTAAATCCTTAGAGTATTTTTATCTAAAAATAATTGACAAGTATTGGATCAGGTTCAATTATGAATCTATGTCTATACATAAGTTTTCGAATTTTCGCGTGGCTAATTACGTAACGCCTAGCGCAAGCCTGTAGACATGAATACTACACGTGTACGCCGATAAACTTTAATCGTATTAACATCATCGAGGTGATTAACACCCTGAAGGCTACCGGTGGTTCGACCTACCGTGTTCCTTGAGTTTGTGTTAATCGTTTGTTAAATAAATCCGAAGGAATTGCTGGAAGAGAGGGGAAAGAGAGGAAGAGGGAGAAAGAAAAAGGAGAAGAAGAAGAAAAAGAGAAGAGGAACGTTAACGAACGGCTACGTGACGATGTTCGAAATACCAAGCAGAAATATCAACCAGAAGTACTTGTTCTTGCTCGAAAGAAGAAAGATTTGGTGCTTGTTCGCCGTCCACGAGAAATATACACAGTGAGTATAAAAAGAAGAGAGAGAAAAAGAGAAAAAAAAAGTGGAAAAGAGAGAGAGAGAGAAAGAGAGAGAGAGTGAGTGAGAGAGAGAGAGAGAGAGAATTATTTTTTAAAGAAATCTTTTGAGAGAGAAATAATAATCTTACTTTTTTGTTGTACTATTTTGTCTATTTATTCTTTTTCTTTTTTTTTTAATCATATATGGTAATAATTATCTCGTTCCTTTTATTGTATTTATCTAATAATATAATGTAAAATGTAGATTATTTTGTATACTTATACTTAGCGTACATTAAAATACGTGTTATTTTTTTCTATTTCACTGTTGGATTATTCTATTTATTTTTTGTCGTCTTTCTATTATTCCCAGGTTATATCTCGTATATGTAACATTCGCAATTGTCCGATCATTTATTGTATTGATTTCCCATAATAGTAAAAGATTTACAAGACCGACGATTATCCGATTTGATACTATCGACCAAATAGATTTCAATGAAATTTCAATGGATGAATCTGTTGTATCAGCTAAGATATTATCGAATTATTTTATCGGACATTCGCGACATACCCTACTCTTCCTGGAAAATAATAACGGTGTTAAACTTCTTCTCTTAATTCCGTTTTCGTCTAAGGATATATATATATATATATATTAACTAAATAAAAGAAGATAATCGAGAAAAAGGATTATTTCGATTTTCGATCCACAAGCGACGAGTCCAAAGAAAATTTTTATTTATCACATCGTTAAAGTTCAATCGGAAACTATGGTGAATTTCGCTGATTCTGCTCTTTAATTACACGGAAATCCAAAGTATTTAATCGCTCCAATTCCGCAAACTCGTTTGTTACTCGCGGCGAACTTTTCTTCGGATAGCTGGTTCTCTTTCGTCTGGAATGCGGGCGGAATGCGAGACAATGAAAAATGTAAAGGGACTAGAAGAAAGGAAAGAGGGGAGAAATAAAAAAAAAAGAAAAAGAAAGGAAGACAGAGGGAAAGGGATGAATAAAAGAAAAAGAAAGAAAAAAATGATATGGTTCTCGTTAAATGCACGAACCAATAAGAATGTTCTTCGATGAAGGAATTTTCTATCATCGATCCTCACCCCGCACCCCTTCCTTCCCGTTCCATCGAAATAGCACACACCTGTGGCGACAGGTGTAAGTGACAAAATAAGAAAAAAAAATTCGATTGTACGAAGGAAAAATATCTAGTCGTTGATATATTTCTCCTTTTTGTTTTCAAACGACGATGCGTGGTTCGATTCGAGGATTAAAAGAATTTCAATCGAGGACAAGGCTTTCCTTTATAGATATTATTTTTGAAGAGATGTCTCGTTCCCGATGAATACTCGAAAGACCTAGATCGAATTTTCTAGTATCGATATCGACTATCGATCATTTTCTTTACGGCGTCGTTTTTCCAAGGCGAGAGATCTAACAACTTCCTATTTCCTAAAGAGCTTACTGAGGCGAGTCTTGAGATATTTCTACCGAGTAGAAATCAATCCTTGGTAAGTTCCACGTGGAAAGTTTCGTCCACGTCGATTCGATATCCTCGAAGGTCTTTGGTTTGCCTCTTGTCTTGTCTCGTGATTTTCAAACGATTTTCTCAACGCCATAACACGATCTTTATTACTTTGTTTCCTTATTTCTTTTCTTTTTTGGCTTTTCTTTTTCTTATCGAAGTAACCAAAGTATATAAGTGCTTACTTTATCAAGTGGATCAAAATTTTATTTCAGAATAACAAAATGAAAGACAGAGATAAAAATATCAAACTCCTCCTCTCCCGAATAATTTCAAAAAATGATCGCAAAGATTTTTATTTTCATTTACGTGCGAAAGAAGTAAACAAAGAAAGAAGTTTACTCGTATCTCTCATGTCATTTCGTTGAAAGATATTCGTGAAGATACTCATGTATTCGGAACTAAGAAGAGCTAAGTAATATATTAAGTCAATATTCGTGAAGAAGAGGAAAAGGAAGGAGAAGAGAGAGAGAGAGAGAGAGAGAGAGAAAGAGAAAGAGCGAAAAGGATGGGTTATGATTTTATGAAATGTTATTACCATACAAAATCATTTTGCGATTTTCATCAAAATTACTATCTCAAACGTTGTGTTAAATCTTTGAATACACACTTGTTAATGTATCGAATATAATATATCTAGTATGAACTTATCATCAAAGTTAAGTATTTTCATCAATATATCAAGAATAAATGAATTCGTTGTAACATTAATTTTTTTTTTCTTATGATTTTGGAGCAAAAACAAAAAGAGAAAGAATAGACGAAAACAAAAAAAAAGGAAGAAGAACAGTGAAAAGTAAAAGAATAAAAAAAGACAAGAATCCGATACCAAAGATAAAGGATAGATCGTAAAAGTCGTACGAGAGACTAAGAAGGGTAGAAAGTAGAATCAGAGGGAAGGAAACTCCGAAAGTCGAAATTTTCACGTATTGGTGAAATACTTGTGTCTATTCCAATGGAAGAATGTGACAATATTCTTTTTTCTTGCAATAGAAAAAAATAGGAAGGGGGAACGAATTTCTTTGAATTGTAGCGACGAAGAAGCAAGAAAGCAGGAAAAGAAATAGAAGAAGAAGGAAGCAAGATAAAAGAAAATCGTGAAAGATAACGAAAGGGAAAGAGAGAGAGAGAGAGAGAGAGAGAGAGAGAGAGAGAAAGAGAGAGAGAGAACTATAAGATCTCATGGTTAGAAGCGAAGACTATGATTAATGTATGATCACATGAAAATATAGAATTCAATTCTATTTGTGTACAAAGTTAAATGTAAACAAGGATCGAAAAACAAATGTGTTAAAATAGAGAAGGACGAAGAAGAAAAAGAAGAAGAAAGAAATACATACGCTTTTGCT